CAACACTAGCTGACCGCAGTTCTGTTCCCACCTGCCACTCGCGCTCACGCTCCCGCCCACGATCCGGCCGTACTGGTCCGAGCTCCTCGCGGAGAAGTCTGCAGCGCCCGCACACCGGGACTGGGAGTTCAACCCCGACCCCTTCGCAGCCAAGCACGAGGTGGAGGCGCGCCAGGCGAAGCGGGAGGAGAAGACCGCCACTGCCTCCAAAGGAGCGGTTGGAAGTGCCCCAGGCAGCCAGCGGGGGAGTGGCCGGAATACACCGGCCAACGCGCCAGAGGACGGCCGGCGGGGCGGGAAGCACTGGGAGGACGCGCCAGAGGTGCGCATGGCGCCTGCTATTCGCGAAATGGTCGAGGGGACCGTCAAGAAGGTAAGCTGCACGTTTGGCTGGGCTGACATCAGATGATGCGCCGGTTCCCTTCTGCGGTGATGGACGCGACGCGCGAAATGGGCGGCGGCTCGGGCAGCAGCACCCCGAATACTGGTGCTAGCACACCAGCGCTCAATACGGACAGTATCCAGACACAGCTCACCACGCTCGGGTTCCGACCAGCGCACATCGCCTCGTGTCTGTCGGCACTGACGGCGGCGAATGAGCGCTTACATACGAGTGGTGCGGCGAACAATGACCCCCTCGTGCTGAGTCTGAGCATCCTGTCCCCGCTCGAGGCGGCGATCGAGTGGCTCCTCCTGCATCTGCCCGAGGACGACTTGCCCGTGCGTTACCGCCCGACGTCAAGTTCCCAGGACATGGTGACGGGCGCAGCGAAGGGCGGGCAGAACCAGCTCGTCCGCGGCTGGCTCGTCGACAAGCTCGTTCGCAAGGCTGGTTTTCCCCGCGCTGCTGTCGAAGCGGCAGTGGCCGTCGAGGAGCGCGAGTCACTCGCACTGGAATACCTTGGTCGGCGACTTTGTGGCTGGGACGAGGACGCGGGCTGGGGTCTCGAGACGCTCACGCCTGCCGACCCGGACGAGGAGCGGGACATTCTCCGGGACGAGGAGGTGCTTGCGCTCGAGGCGCTGCTGGGCGAGCGGTTCCGCGAAGAAGCAGGGAAAGAGGGCGCGCGCGAGCTCGCAATCAGTGTGGCGAGTGCGCCGGACGATCTGACGCTGCACGTCGTCTTTGACTCGGCGTCGCCATACCCCTCGGCACAGTACCCGACCCGCCCGCCCGCCTTCTATCTCACCTCGAATACTTTGCCGGCCTACATGCGCCTGGCGCTGCATGCCGACATGCTCCGGCAGTTCCGCGGCGACCGGCACGATCTGGTCGGCATGCTCGAGGCGGGCTCGGGCGGCGTCGTGCTCTCCATGGTGGAGCATCTCGAGACCTCGCTGCCCGACGTGGTCGCGAATCCCCCCAACGTGGCGGACGTCACGAAGCATCTGGTCCCGAGGCCCGACGACGATGAGCCCGAGGAAAAGCGTACTGCGCCACAGAAGGAGAAGAAGACGCGCGGAAAGCGCAAGCACCGCGCAGCCACGGCGGAGCAGCACGAGGCCGCGCGCCAGCAGCAGAAACGCATGATGGCCGATCCGGCGTATGAGGAGATGATGCGCGTCCGCCGCTCCCTGCCGGCATGGAAGGAGCGGGAGAACATCTGCACCGCTTTAGAGAGCAACCGCGTCCTCGTCGTGGTCGGCGAGACGGGATGTGGAAAGAGTACCCAGCTGCCACAGTTCCTGCTCGACCACGAGATCGAGGCGGGCCGCGGCGCCGACACAAACATCATCGTGACGCAGCCGCGCCGCGTGGCTGCCATGGGCGTCGCCGCGCGTGTGGCGCAGGAAAGGCTCGAGGACGTGGACAAGACGCCGGGGACCGTGGGCTACGCGATCCGCGGCGAGCGGCGCGCGTCCCCCGACACACGCGTTCTGTTCTGTACGACGGGTGTGGTGCTGCGCCGCCTGGCGACGGCGGACGCGGACTTGGCGGGCGTCTCGCACGTGGTCGTGGACGAAGCCCACGAGCGCGGCGTCGACACGGACCTCTTGATCTGTCTGCTGCGCGACCTTCTCGCACGCAACAGCACGATCAAGGTCGTGCTCATGTCCGCCACGATCAACGAGCAGATCTTCATCGACTATTTTGGTGGATGCCCCAGTCTCACCATCCCCGGCTTCACGCACCCGGTCACGGACCATTATCTCGAGGATCTCGTCCCGGAGATCAAGTATCGTCCCACTGCATCTCGTTTCGGGCCCAAGCTCAGCGAGGACCAGAAAGCGGCCATGCGGCGGGATTACGAGAAACTCGGCCTCGAGCACGAGGACATGCGCGCGCTCGAGATCCTGTCCCAGAACGACCGCATCGACTATGGTCTCGTCGCTGCGACTGTCAAGCATATCGTCGATACGTCGACCAGCGGCGCCGTGCTCATCTTCATGCCTGGTGTGATGGAGATAAGGGCTTGCGTGGCGGAACTGAACAGCGCCGGGCTCGGCGCGGTGGATATCTTGCCTCTGCACGCGAACCTGAGCAGCGCGGAGCAGCGCCGCGTCTTCGCCCCGACCAAGGGGCGGAAGATCGTCGTCGCCACCAACGTCGCCGAGACATCCGTCACGATCCCGGACGTGGTGTACGTCGTGGACACGGGCCGCGTCAAGGAGACGCAGTACGACGCCAGTGTCGGTCTGCAGCGGCTCGTGGAGTGCTGGACCTCGCGCGCCTCGGGACGGCAGCGCCGTGGTCGAGCCGGCCGCACGCAGCCAGGCCAGTGCTACAAACTGTACACGCGGCGCACAGAGTCCAACTCGATGGCTCGCTTCCCCGTCCCCGAGATTCTGCGCACGCCTTTGGAGTCGCTCTTCCTCCAAGTGAAAGCCATGGACGAGGACACGGACGTGAAGGCGTTCCTCAGTCGCGCCTTGGATCCGCCCAAAATCGACGCGATCGATGCCGCATGGACGACATTGCTTGATCTCGGCGCAGTCGAGAGCGAGAAACACTCGGCCCACCTCACCGCTCTGGGCAGGCACATGAGCATGCTCCCCGTCGACGTGCGGTTGGCCAAGATGCTGGTGCTGGCGACCATTTTCCGCTGTCTCGACCCGATTCTGACTGTTGCGGCACTCCTCTCTTCCAAGCCGCTCTTCACCTCCCCGCTCGATCGGCGGGAGGAGGCGAGAAAGGCGCGCGAGTCGTTCGCCCGCGCCCGCTCCGACCTGCTCACTGATGCCCGCGCGTATGCGGCCGTGGCGGGGCTGAAGCGCAGCGAGGCGCGGTCCTTCTGCGAGACGAACTTTATCTCGCAGAGTGCGGTGCGCGACATCAGCTCGCTCCGGGGCGACTTTGTGTCGGCGCTAGCGCAGATCGGGTTCATCGGTTCCCGCGCCTCAGACATAGACGCAGCGTCCGTAAATGCGGGTAACGACGCGCTCGTGAAGGCCATCCTAGTGGGCGGCCTGTATCCGCGCGTCGCGCGCATTGCGTTGCCCGAAGCCCAATTCGAGCGCCTGCAACAGGGCGCGATCCAGAAAGAACACGAAGCGCGCGAGGTCAAATTCTTCGATGCGCAGGGACGCGTGTTCCTCCACCCCTCCAGTGTGCTGTTCAACGAGTCGGGCTGGCGTAAAGGGTATCTGGCCTATTTCGCGAAAGCGGAGACGTCCAAGGTGTTCCTGCGCGACGCGACGGATGTGCCCCTGTACGCGCTGCTGCTGTTCGGCGGACCCGTGACTGTGAACCATTGGGCCGGCGGACTCATGCTGGGTAAAGATGGGGCTGTGAAACTGAGGGCGAACACGAGGATTGGTGTTCTGTGTGCGCAACTGAGAAGGTTGTTGGATGCGCAGCTCGCGGAGGCTGTGGACAGCCCGCATGGCGCGGCAGACGTCAAGGAGGACGTGGTCGGGGCTATGATGGCGTTGTTGGCGAGGGATGGGTTGTCTGCGTGAGCGGCGACGAGCAGCGAGCGAAGCGAGCCTGCGAGTCTTCTCCACCCTCCTCTCCCTATCCCTCTTCCTATACAAACCCTAGACACATAGACTATGCATACACATACCTTGCTGCCTGCTCCTCCCTATCTTGCCGTATGGAGACGCGCAAATCGTGATGCACGCGTCGTGATATTTTGCCACTGACGCGTCCCCTCCGAAGTTCAGGCACGTCAGCACGTGCCCAGCTTTCGTCTTTCGTCACCCCGGTCACTCCGCCTCCGCCTCCACTATCACCCACCACTTGCCCCTGCCCGCCTGCTGTCCCTCCGTCCGTCCGAGTAAACATTCGGCCATTCGATATAGTGTAGAGGCACACTCCCGCCTCATGTTCAAGCGCATGTCTGCGTCGGCCGTTTTTGCGACTACCTCGACCGCGACCGCAGGGAGCGTAGGGAGCGTAGGGAGCGCAGCGAGCGCAGCGAGCGTCGGACTGGGAGGGAACGCAGGCAACGCAGGCACCGCAGGCAACGCCGGACTCGGAGCGACAACTACAGTAACGGCGACAACAACGGCGACGGCCAGCGTCGGAGGATCTGGAGGAGGTGGGAGCCTAGGAGGCCCAGTGCCAGGACCCAGCGGGTCGGCCGACTCGCCTATCAGTGTTGCGAGCGGAAGTGCTTGGGAGGAGGACAGTGTTGGTGAGTTCAACATGACACATGGCCAGACGGTCCAGAGGTCCAAAGATGTCTCGGGGCTCGCTGCTATCTCGCCGAGCGCGCCGAGCTTACGCTGCTCGCCCCGCCCGCTCTGCTCATCGAGCTCACCGAGCTCGCACAGCTCACACAGCTCACAGCTCGCGCTACTCGCGCTACTCGCGCAGCTCACACAGCTCGCGCTGCTCGCTGCGCTCGCATCGCTCACCACTAACACCCAGTCGAAATCTCGCCCCATCGACCCCGCGCCGTCCCCGCCCCAGGCTCACCGTCGCCCTCCCCCGCCCACCTCCAGTTCAAAGCCGCTCCATCCCTTCTTCACCCGCCCGCGCGTCCCTGTTCCCCGCCAACCAAGGCTCGTCGCGACGTACGCGTCCACGTCCTCGTCCCTGTACGACAGCCAGTCGCAGTCTACGTCTCAGTCCCAGTCCCAGTCGCAGGGGACGGAGTTCTCTCAAAGCAGTGGGAGCGGCAGTTTCTTCTCGAGCAACACCGAGTTCTTCTCTGCTGCTTCGGAACTGAGCTTCGCGTCCCAAAGTCAACAGAGTCAGGAGAGCGGAAGGAGCAGAGGCGACGTGGTGTCCCCGCCCCATGGCGAGCCGTCTTTTCGGCCCAGCACACACATCTCCGACCTCACTGCTGAGCTGCTCCGGCTTGACATTCGCGCGGACGCGGGAATTGACGACAGGGGGTGGACCGAGAGGACGGGGGAGAGGGACCGCGCGATCAGAGCTGTTCGCGCTGGTGTGCAGCGACGCACTGCGTCCATGACGCTTGCGAAGGAGGTTATGGAACCTACTGCTGCCGAGTGGCCCGCTCTCAGCCCGACATCGAGGACTGTGCCTCTTAAGACGGGGTATGCTTCTGTTGCTAAGAAGGGGGTTACCACGGCGGCGACGGCAAAGGTTGAGTCGCCGATGGTTGAGACGACACTCGAGAAACCGCCTTCACGACCAACCTCCCCGACGACCAAGACCGCTGCGAAACCCCCGACACCGCCTCCGCCAGCGACGGCCCAGCACCCCCCCAAGCCGCCGACCGACGAGCCATCCGACCTGCCCGTCTTCTCGCACAAGATTCCCATCAAGGGGCATTTCACCCGCCCCCCAAACGTGGCCTACACCACCGACCCCGCCGAGGTGGAGGACCTGATCGGCTGTTTGCGCGGACCGCTGTCCTTAGACCTCGAGTGGCCACCACCAGGGCAAGGCAAGGCGATCCCGCGCAAGCTGCGGGGCGGGAAGATAGTCCACATCCGGCGGCCAGTGTACGACGCCAAGCTGGGGAAGAACGTGTGGCCCGAGGCGCCCGTCTCGGTCGTGCAGATCGCTGATGCGAGGCTCGTCATAGTCTTCCAGATGCTGCACGACCCCGAGATCCACGTCCGCGCACGCACCCAGGGCCGCAACCTCACCATGCCGCACAGTATGCCCCCTGCGCTGCTCCGTTTGCTCGCGGATCCAGAACGCGTCAAGTGCGGCGTCAACATCAAGCAGGACGGGAACAAGCTCTGGCGCGATTTCGGCGTGCCCACCGCCGGCCTGTTGGAACTATCCGCCGTCGCGCGACACGTAGACAGTGCCCGATGGCCCGACAAGGGCCTTATCTCCCTCGCGCGTCTCGCCGCGGCCTATCTCGGTGCCGACCTCGACAAAGGCGACGTGCGGACGGGCGACTGGTCCGCCCGCCTCGACGCCGAGCAGGTCAGCTATGCGGCGAATGACGCGTTCGCGGGCCGGCTCATCTATGGCGCATTGCTCAAGAGGGGCAGGGAGACGGACACGACGCTCTACATTGGCAACATGTGTGCGAGCGTGGGATGTGAGCAGACCGCGGGCCGGAGGAATGCACAGGGCCCAACAAACCTCAAGCCGACGGCCGAGCGGGCACGAGCCCGAAACTCAGTCCGAGAGCGACTCCGTTCCAGCCGCACGTTGTGCAGGCGAGGCCAGGGACGAACGCCGGGCCGCGCGCGCCGCGCGGGCAGCAGCAACCGCAGCAACCTGTCCAGCCACCGCCGTTCCAACCTCCCCCCGTCCATCATTCCCAACCATCGCAGTACTACTCGCCACACCAATCTCACCAACCTCACCCGACTCATCAACCCCAGCCCCGG